AGCACTTAGAGAACATTCAATGGAGGGATCTGTCAATGGTAACACTAAACACTGTTACCATGGTAACACTAAACACTGCTACCATGGTAACACTAAACACTGCTACCATGGTAACACTAAACACTGCTACCATGGTAACACTAAACACTGCTACCATGGTAACACTAAACACTGCTACCATGGTAACACTAAACACTGCTACCATGGTAACACTAAACACTGCTACCATGGTAACACTAAACACTGCTACCATGGTAACACTAAACACTGCTACCATGGTAACACTAAACACTGCTACCATGGTAACACTAAACACTGCTACCATGGTAACACTAAACACTGCTACCATGGTAACACTAAACACTGCTACCATGGTAACACTAAACACTGCTACCATGGTAACACTAAACACTGCTACCATGGTAACACTAAACACTGCTACCATGGTAACACTAAACACTGCTACCATGGTAACACTAAACACTGCTACCATGGTAACACTAAACACTGCTACCATGGTAACACTAAACACTGCTACCATGGTAACACTAAACACTGCTACCATGGTAACACTAAACACTGCTACCATGGTAACACTAAACACTGCTACCATGGTAACACTAAACACTGCTACCATGGTAACACTAAACACTGCTACCATGGTAACACTAAACACTGCTACCATGGTAACACTAAACACTGCTACCATGGTAACACTAAACACTGCTACCATGGTAACACTAAACACTGCTACCATGGTAACACTAAACACTGCTACCATGGTAACACTAAACACTGCTACCATGGTAACACTAAACACTGCTACCATGGTAACACTAAACACTGCTACCATGGTAACACTAAACACTGCTACCATGGTAACACTAAACACTGCTACCATGGTAACACTAAACACTGCTACCATGGTAACACTAAACACTGCTACCATGGTAACACTAAACACTGCTACCATGGTAACACTAAACACTGCTACCATGGTAACACTAAACACTGCTACCATGGTAACACTAAACACTGCTACCATGGTAACACTAAACACTGCTACCATGGTAACACTAAACACTGCTACCATGGTAACACTAAACACTGCTACCATGGTAACACTAAACACTGCTACCATGGTAACACTAAACACTGCTACCATGGTAACACTAAACACTGCTACCATGGTAACACTAAACACTGCTACCATGGTAACACTAAACACTGCTACCACCTATTTGATAAGTGTATGTCAGTCAGTGAGCTGTGTTCCACCTGATAAGTGCTCTCTGCTTATCTTCTACACTACTTATAGACCATGGTAGCAGTGTTTAGTGTTACCATGGTAACAGTGTTTAGTGTCCCCTATTAGCTGCAGCCCCCTACCATTAGCAACAACAAATATTAGATAAGCTGCTTTGTTTAAGTCACTACAACTGTGGGCGGGTTATGTAACTGTTTTAATAAGATATCGCTGGTTATCTGAGAGACACTAAGGGGGGAGGGGGCCGGGGGGACTAAGGGAGGAGGAGGGGGGCCGGGGGGCTAAGGGAGGAGGAGGGGGGCCGGGGAGACTAAGGGAGGAGGAGGGGGGCCGGGGGGCTAAGAGAGGAGGGGGGGCCGGGGGGCTACGTTTCCAAATAATTTCTCAAACCACTCCGTATCATGTACAATAGCCTAAATACGCTTCAAACAAGGCATTTCTAATTTTATAGTGGTCCTGTTCGAGCCCTTCTCAATCATTTCCTAGAAAATTATCAAATCAATTAACGCATCAATTAACTTGTAAATTAGCTGATTTTCATTTAACCATTTATTCAATCAATTAACCAGTTAACGAGGTCTGATCGTCATCTTCTTACAGCGTTCAATGTCTGTATGAAGGTAAAATGGTGACCAGTTAATTACAAACTAATCCTCTGTTCCTCTGCAGCAGTGGTGTGTTATTCAATCAATTAACCAGTTAATTACAAACTAATTAGTTAATTACAAACTAATTAGTTAATTACAAACTAATCAGTTAATTACAAACTAATTAGTTAATTACAAACTAATCATCTGTTCCTCCGCAGCTATAGCCGTGGTTTGTGACGACTATTTCGTACCCTCGCTGGTGGTTATTTGTCAGCGATTAGACTTGTCAGAAGATGTGGCTGGGGCTACTTTCATGGCAGCAGGTAATCTATTAGGGCAGCGGTAATTAATTAGGTGTTAATCATTTAGATGCTAATTAATAATTGGGCATTATTTGACTACTTAGCTGCGATTTTCTTAGTTATATTAGAAAAACTTAGTTATAATCCTCAACCAGTGAAATTTACTCTAATTAACTACACGATCATGTTTCTACACAAATACTCCTTCACAAAATGGTATATAGCATTGCTCCTTCATAAACACAACTGTTCCCCCTTACAGGTTCCTCAGCACCGGAGCTGTTCACGTCTTTAGCAGCAGTCACTAACAACTCTGATATTGGGGTGGGAACCATTGTCGGGTGAGTGACCAATCAGGGAGCTGTATTTTAGTCACGTGGTTTAAATCAACCAATCAGAGCGCTGTGTTTTATTAACCTGACTCAATTCAACCAATCAGAGGGCTGTGTTTCGTCTGGTAACTTAAACCTACCAATTTGGGCCGTGCGACATAAACCAACTTATGACCACTTAAATAGTTTAAGTGACTTCTTGATGAACTGTTCCTCTGACGATTAACAGAACACAGATCTAAAAATAAAACACTATTTAAAGCTGCTGATTCTTTTATCTTTTTATAAAATTGTTCTGAATTTTGTATACAAAATAGATTTCGTATAATAAGGTTTTAAACGCTGTAACTGGACACTAAAACAGTAGACAGTTAATGCCATTAAACACATTTATACATTGTATTTCAACATAGAAATAAGGATGGAAATATTCGTTTAAGTACATTGTGGGAGCATTTTATACATTATTATATGTACATACATTACATTTTAGACTGTCTGAAAACGCTGAGTTACATGGATTTTACCACTGCCAATGTAGACTTACGCAAACCAATCTGAGAGCTGTATTTTAGTCACGTGCCATAAACCAACCAATCAGAAAGCTGTATTTTAGTTTACTTCCATAAGAGTACAGATTGGCTAGAGGTAAGACACCCCTCAATTCTTGTCATTTTCCACATATTTGTTCAGATCTACACTCGGAAACACTGAAATGTTGCAAAAGCTCCCAACTATCATTATAGCAATCATCTTCATTAGGCAAATGACCTGAGAAGAGTTTTCATCACTAAAAATACCGAGCAAACACCGTTAGAAATAAGGCTGTGAATATGATAAACATGTAACAGTACCCTTGTCAGGTGTACCAATGTTAACATGATATTGTTGTTATTGTCCAGTTTGGCATGATGCCATCCAGTTTGGCAGGATGCCATCACGACACCAGGAAGTAGATTCTGCTGGGATCGGAACATCTGCTACCGTTAGCAGCCGTCAGCAGGCGGATCCTGTGTTTTCAGCTTGAAACTGAAGGTGTTAACTTATGCAGGTCACATAAAGGTTATTGTCAGTACATTGGTTAGGAGAACTATAATATAGTTACTAGGGTTACTGTTACTAGGGTTACTAAGGTTGAGCTGTGTCCTGGTGAGGGGTGTATCTATTAATAGCAACCCAGGGTCATGTACAGTAATAGGGTTTTTAGGGCTTATGTCACTGAAGATGACACCTTGCAACATGTTTGACGATAGCCTGTAAATTGATAGTTTGATCTCAGTATTTACAGTAAATCATCTAGCTTGATTGATTCAAAGGGAGAACAAATTCCTCAGTAATAGGGTTAGTATGTGATGTGTGGAGAGGATCAGTTTCCGATCAGTTTAGATCAGCAAATTTGGGGTGATATTATTTTATCAGGGACAAATCATGGCTCCTCAAACCTTGTGTAATATTCAGAGTCTTGAAACTAGGGTTACTGTTACTAGGGTTACTTGAAACTAGGTCTCATTACAATAGTTTCAGTGCAGAGAACAGAGTCTTGAAACTAGGGTTACTGTTACTAGGGTTACTTGAAACTAGGGTTACTGTTACTAGGGTTACTTTAAACTAGGGTTACTGTTACTAGGGTTACTGTTACTAGGGTTACTGTTACTAGGGTTACTGTTACTAGGGTTACTGTTACTAGGGTTACTGTTACTAGGGTTACTGTTACTAGGGTTACTGTTACTAGGGTTACTGTTACTAGGGTTACTGTTACTAGGGTTACTGTTACTAGGGTTACTGTTACTAGGGTTACTGTTACTAGGGTTACTTGAAACTAGGGTTACTGTTACTAGGGTTACTTGAAACTAGGGTTACTGTTACTAGGGTTACTGTTACTAGGGTTACTTGAAACTAGGTCTCATTACAATAGTTTCAGTGCAGAGAACAGAGTCTTGAAACTAGGGTTACTGTTACTAGGGTTACTGTTACTAGGGTTACTGTTACTAGGGTTACTGTTACTAGGGTTACTGTTACTAGGGTTACTGTTACTAGGGTTACTGTTACTAGGGTTACTGTTACTAGGGTTACTGTTACTAGGGTTACTGTTACTAGGGTTACTGTTACTAGGGTTACTTGAAACTAGGGTTACTGTTACTAGGGTTACTTGAAACTAGGGTTACTGTTACTAGGGTTACTGTTACTAGGGTTACTTGAAACTAGGTCTCATTACAATAGTTTCAGTGCAGAGAACAGAGTCTTGAAACTAGGGTTACTGTTACTAGGGTTACTGTTACTAGGGTTACTGTTACTAGGGTTACTGTTACTAGGGTTACTGTTACTAGGGTTACTGTTACTAGGGTTACTGTTACTAGGGTTACTGTTACTAGGGTTACTGTTACTAGGGTTACTGTTACTAGGGTTACTGTTACTAGGGTTACTTGAAACTAGGGTTACTGTTACTAGGGTTACTTGAAACTAGGGTTACTGTTACTAGGGTTACTGTTACTAGGGTTACTTGAAACTAGGTCTCATTACAATAGTTTCAGTGCAGAGAACAGAGTCTTGAAACTAGGGTTATTGTTACTAGGGTTACTTGAAACTGGCCTCATTATTATAGTTTCAGTGCACAGAACAGAGTCTTGAAACTAGGGTTACTGTTACTAGGGTTACTTGAAACTAGGGTTACTGTTACTAGGGTTACTTGAAACTAGGTCTCATTATTATAGTTTCAGCGCAGAGAACAGAGTCTTGACACTAGGGTTACTGTTACTAGGGTTACTTGAAACTAGGTCTCATTATAATAATAGTTTCAGTGCAGAGAACAGAGTCTTGACACTAGGGTTACTGTTACTAGGGTTACTTGAAACTAGGTCTCATTATAATAATAGTTTCAGTGCAGAGAACAGAGTCTTGACACTAGGGTTACTGTTACTAGGGTTACTTGAAACTAGGTCTCATTATAATAATAGTTTCAGTGCAGAGAACAGAGTCTTGACACTAGGGTTACTGTTACTAGGGTTACTTGAAACTAGGTCTCATTATAATAATAGTTTCAGTGCAGAGAACAAAGTCTTGACACTAGGGTTACTGTTACTAGGGTTACTTGAAACTAGGGTTACTGTTACTAGGGTTACTTGAAACTAGGCCTCAATATAATAGTTTCAGTGCAGAGAACAGAGTCTTGAAACTAGGGTTACTGTTACTAGGGTTACTTGAAACTAGGGTTACTGTTACTAGGGTTACTTGAAACTAGGTCTCATTATAATAATAGTTTCAGTGCAGAGAACAGAGTCTTGACACTATGGTTACTGTTACTAGGGTTACTTGAAACTAGGGTTACTTGAAACTAGGTCTCATTATAATCTCCACACACGACAGATGGAAGACATTTTGTGAGATGAGAAGACACTATATATTATATATCGGTTACTACCACCACCGTGCTTTGTAACTATATTTCTGAGATGATGTCAGGGAGCTGTAATGAGTTCCACTACGAGTAATATTACCGTTTATAATTGACATGGTATCGATCAGATGGTATGATAGGAATGAGGTCATCTGTTTGAGCTACGTATTTTGAACCATCTCCCTCCATGCAATAAAGCATATAACTTTCGGGGGAAAACCACTTTGTGTTCACAATTCACATGTTACAGTTAATCTCTGTTGAACCAGAGTGATGTCATGGTAGTCATGGTAATCCGGTATATCAGCATTTACCAATAGAGTACTAGAAATACAGTGTCCTGATCGTTCTACCATGAATATCGTCACGTGATAACCACGTGACTTATCACGTGACCTGGCCACGTGTCAGACAACGTGACGGGATCCGTGACTGTGGTCGTGAAAACTAATCTGACAGAACCTTAAAAATCATATTATCTCCATCGCACACGACGGCAGATTTACGGTAATTTTCATGTCTGAATTACTTATCGATTTAATTCTTAAGAATCACAGCATTGCTCAGTATGAATTCTCACTGTGTTCACTACTGTACTACTATTCGAGACAGGTGATCATTGTCGTGACTCTGATCCTGAAAAGTGATCTTACTGCTCTCACAGTGCTTAGATTAATGTTTTTAGTTCAGAAATATATCCGTTCATCGGTATTAAATGCGGATTCATCACATAATTTAGAATAATATATGTGGTTTAACGAGGTCTGATCGTCATCTTCTTACAGCGTTCGATGTTTGTGTGAAGGTAAAATGGTGACATCCTCTGGATCGGGCAGAGGTCGAGTGTTATTATATCGGGATTACATTAAATATGTGGTTTAATAAGAATTGTGGCGGGAAATTAAACAGCAATTAATATCGACATTTGCAGGTCCCCACTCAGCAGGGTACCCACTGTGTGTCTTAATTAATGGTTTTGAAGTTCGGGTACTAGACTATTTGGTTATAATAATATAATTATAATATAATAAGGTTTTGGGTAACGTTTGAATCCTGATATGAATCCTATCTGCACAATATTTTATGCTGTTTGCACACTAAACTTTTCTTAAGGCATGTCCTTAATAAGTTAATATTTAATAGGTTAATATTTAATAGGTTTCTAACTAGTTACCCAGTCAGGAAGACATTATCTAACTAGCCACTATACTCTAGGGTAACTGTTACTAGGGTAACTGTTACTGTTACTGTTACTAGGGTTACTGTTACTAGGGTTACTGTTACTAGGGTTACTGTTACTAGGGTTACTGTTACTAGGGTTACTGTTACTAGGGTTACTGTTACTAGGGTTACTGTTACTAGGGTTACTGTTACTAGGGTTACTGTTACTAGGGTTACTGTTACTAGGGTTACTGTTACTAGGGTTACTGTTACTAGGGTTACTGTTACTAGGGTTACTGTTACTAGGGTTACTGTTACTAGGGTTACTGTTACTAGGGTTACTGTTACTAGGGTTACTGTTACTAGGGTTACTGTTACTAGGGTTACTGTTACTAGGGTTACTGTTACTAGGGTTACTGTTACTAGGGTTACTGTTACTAGGGTTACTGTTACT